TCTATTCTATTCTATTCTATTCTATTCTATTCTATTCTATTCTATTCCTATTCTTTTCAGTAGAGTTTCATGCTTTTCATGTAGTATTTTTTAAACCAAGTTAAGCTATAGGAAAAAAATTAATTAAAAAGTTAGTAATGATAGAGCCTTAACTTGGAATGTGGGCCTGGCTGCACACTTTTGTCACAATCCACAGTGGTTAGAGCTGCCTTTCCGGGTCATGGGCGTGATTACAGCCATTACCTCATGTGTGTGCATCACAGCCAGTGTCTCCTCTGGTCATACCCTCTCTCTCACACATGAATGGCTAATAGGTCACTCTGCAGCTCATCTGGGGGGTGGGTTGTGACTTACACAGTCATCTGACCCTGCCACTGGCAGAGTTAGGATGCCATTTCCAGACAGAGCCGCTCTAGATCTCACAGACTCAGGAAGTGTTCACCCGTTTTCCTCCCCACTGCATCCCTTCCCTCTGTTCATGTCTCACCACAATCCTGCCCACTCTTCACCCAGTATTCTCACACCTGCATCCCCAGAGGAACAAGCAATATACTGTATTTGCCGTATGTTCAAATCCTGGAGGAAGGGTGTTCAGTGCATAACCATGACTTCAAAAGTCACTGTGGAAAGGATTGGTTTGAGTTTTTGTGTAAGGTTTGTGGTAGTGGCTCACAAGATGGCACAGTGGTCAAAAGCACTTGCTGCCATGCAGGGGACCTGGGTATGGTTTTCGACACCACAGGGTGGCTTATAACTTATCTGACACCTTTTCATGGCTACTTAAGGAACCAGAACACACATAGTTCATGTACATAATGCAGACACACACACACACACACACACACACACACACACACACACAACCAAAATAAATAAATCTGTTAAAACATTTAAAAATGAAGCATTAATTTCAAGAAATCTCTTCTACAATGACACATCTCACCTGGAACCTACACATACGTTTCCAAAAAATGAGTCATGCAATAAAGAAATGAATACTGTGGCCTGCATTACCAGTGCGATTGTGGGGCTCAGAGGGTTGATGGTTCTCAGTTTGAATCCCCCGGATGAGAGTGGTAGCTCCTCTAGCATCCCTTCTCCCGCCTGAGGAATAAAGGATTTCTTAGTGAATCCCCATGTTAGAAACAGACAGAAGAAAATTCCCATTCAATGCCATGGTGAGAAGCTGAGATTCTAGGAGCCTGATGACATCGACGAGTGAATCAGTAACAACAAGAAGAAGAAATGCATGCCACACTGATGAAGTACCAAGCATGGCTATGAATGCTTTTCATGGTATCACTCGACAGTCATCTGGACAAAGTACCACTGTCATATCGCTTTTATAAGAGATGACACTGGGGTCCAGAGAGATCAGGTAAGCAGTCTAGGCTCACAGAGGGAGAATCTCAGCTCAGACCTTCCCACTCTGCCAGGAACTTAGGGCACTGAATCCCAATACTTGTTTGGGTCCGAGATGAAATCCTCTTTGCAGCCTCTGAAAAATGAGATGATACAGCATCATTTTAAAGTTACTGAGAAGATAAAGGCAAGAATACCTGCATCGCTATGTCAGAGAACAAAACCACAACAATCAATGCCTTGAGTGTAGACTATTCCACATGAGTAATAGTTTAAATATTTATAAAACTAAGGAAGGTCAAGGGTTTAAATAGAACATCAAAAGGAACTGGGTGGTGGCAGCACACACCTTTAATCACAGTGTTTCTGGAGGCAGAGGCAGGTGGATCTCTGTGAGCTAGAGGCCAGCCTGCTCTACAGCTCCATACAGCACAGCAAGGGATACACAGGGAAAGCTGGTTTCAAGCATGTAATGAAGCCAACAAACAAACAACATAAAAAGTCACAGGGTTTTTCTTTTTTGTTTGTGAGTTTGGGTTTTGGTTTTCTGTGACAGGTTTCTTTGAGAAGCCTTGACTCTCCTGGACTAACTTTGTAGACCAGGCTGCTGACCTTGGCTCACAGAGATCTGGTTGCCAATGCCTCCCAGAGTTCTGGGTTTATAGGAATATGCCATCAAGCCCAGCTTCAAAGGGGCCTTTTGCCTAATTGATCTTATCTGTAGAGGGATTGGCAACCTGTTACCCCAGTGAGAACAAGTGGAGCTCTCATATGAGAGTTTCAGGTGAGTCATGATCTGATGAGCTAAACCCAGAGGGCAAAATCTGCAGCCTCACAGAAGGAGTGTGTCTATTTCAACCCTCTAACCACCACTGGACAGAAGAGCAGAGCATGTAGGCCATATTGAGTCATAGTCAACAAGGCAGAGGCAGACAACTGAATCCAGGAATATGGGCAAGGCATCCAGAAGATGAATCCTTTCTAGGCAACCCATAGGACCAAGATGATGGTTTATAAATCCTAAACTTGGAGAAATTATAGATGTGTCTGATGTTCTATAAAAACAAGGGAAGAGCGTTTTCCATACTCATGGTGTGTGTGTTAACTTGTTTTGTCTACAAAACAAACTAGGATTATCTAGAAAGAGGAACTCTCAATTTTTTGGAGTGGGAAGAAATCCTCTATCTAATTGGCCTATAGGCAGGTCTGTGAGGGCATATTGAGTAATGATTGATGAAGGAGGGACCAGGCCACAGGGGGTGGTAGCAGCCCTATGTAGGTTGGTCCTCAGGTACATATAAGAATTCAGGCAACACAGTGAACAATGTTAGTAAGCGACATTCTTCCATGGCCTGTGTTTCAGGCCCTGTCCTGATGGCCCTTCATAATAGAATATAAGCTGAAAGATAAGCCAAACACTTTCCTCCCAAAGTTGCTCTTGGTCATCGTGTTTCATCACAGCAACAGAGAGCAAACTAGGACACATGGGATAAGATAATGATATTGATAGTATCAACAAGAACAGACCATCAGATGAGGAGGAATTCATGGGTGACCAGGTCAGGCTTCCTTGAGAACAGCTCTCACCAGGTCCTAAGAGAAGAAATCAGATGTTATGTCAGGAGCTGAAGCAGGGGTTCTCTTTTGTCTTCATGATGTAAGGTCTAAATAGCCCCTTGAAGTGTCAATCCAGAGTTCATCTGGAGCTGAGTTTCCCCTGATTCTTGAGGTCACACATGGGGTCATGACTCTGTGAACACTACAAAGACAGTCTCTCTCAATTTTAGCTTCCTCAACTATAACCTGGGGCATCTAAATGATACCAATCTTTGATGGCAGCTGGGCTAGACAGTATCTAAGATAGATGCTAATCAAAGCAAAAAACTATCAACATAGTTCCTTCTGTCGTTGTCCTTTACTCTTTCTGCTCTTGTTCACAGTCTTTGCTCTTTTTGTGTCTGTCTCTCAAAGAATCCATGTGCTCTTTTCACACTTCCACCAGTTTCTCACTAGAGAGACAGAGAGAGAGAGAGAGAGAGAGAGAGAGAGAGAGAGAGAGTATGTGTGTTCCTTTATATATCTTTCATCTGGGATATTTTTGCTCTCAAACAACCTTTTTCATGTTTGAATCTATCTCTTCTGACATCAAGTGTGACACAGAAGCATAGGAAGAATGACAGTTTTGGTCTTTATCCCCTGTTCCTGGCCAGACTTCTCAAATCCCGAGGGAGGTCCCAAGTGATTAAGGTGAGAAGGGCATCAATGTACTCTAGCTCACAGCCAGCCTTCCTCAGTAACACCCCAGTGTGTGTTAAAGAGGTGAGGTCTGGAAATTCCTGAGGAATGGAGGGCTGGTGGCCAGGGGAATAAAATCAAGAGTTGACCCCTGACCTCCATGGTGAGAAGAGCTAAAAGTTGCTTTGATCATACGGCTAACGATTTCATTGATCATCCCTGTGTAACACAACTTTTATTAAAATCCTAAGTGACTCTGTTCAGAGGGATTTAGAGTTGACAAACTCCATAGTGCTGGAAGGGTGCTGTGCCCAGGGATGGTCCTCTCCCATATGGTGATTCTCCGTGTGCACACATGTGTGTGGAGGACAGAGAGCAGCCTTGGGTGTCATTCCTTAGGTGGTGTCAGCTTCCTGCTTTAGAGATGGGTTTTTCTTTTTTTTTTTTAAATTCTTTATTAATTACACTTTATTCACTTTATATCCCCCCTGTGTTTCCCTCCCTCCTCCTGTCCCAATCCCTCCCTTCCTCCACCCTCTGCATGCAAGCCCCTCCCCAAGTCCACTGATGGGGATGTCTTCTTTTCCTTCCTTCTGATCCTAGTCAATTAGGGTATCATCAGGAGTGGCTGCATTGTCTTCTTCTGTGGCCTGGTAATGCTGCTTCCCCCTCAGGGGGAGGTGATTAAAGAGCAGGCCAATCAGTTCATGTCAGAGACAGTCCCTGTTCCTATGACAATGGAACCCACTTGGGAAGTGAACTGCCATGGGCTACATCTGTGCAGGGGTCCTAGGTTATCTCCATGCATAGTCCTTGTTTGGAGTATCAGTCTCAGGAAAGACCCCTGTGCTCAGATTTTTTGGTTCTGTTGCTTTCCTTCTGGAGTTCCTGTCCTCTCCAGATCTTACTGTTTCCCACTTCTTTCATAAGATTCCCTGCACTCTGCCCAAAGGTTGCCCATAAGTGTCAGCATCTGCTATGATAGTCTGTAGGGCAGAGATTTTCAGAGGTCCTCTGTGTCAGGCTCCTGACTTGTTCCCTTTTTTCTCCTTCTTCTGATGTCCAGCCTCTTTGCATTTCTAGATAGGAATTGAGCATTTTAGCAAGAGTCCTCCCTCTTGATTAGTTTCTTTAGGTGTACAGATTTTAGTAGGTTTATCCTATATTATATGTCTATATGAGTGAGTATATACTGTGTGTATCTTTCTGCTTCTGGGATAGCTCACTCAGGATGATCTTTTCCAGATCCCACCATTTACCTGCAAATTTCATGATTTCCTTGTTTTTTTATTGCTGAGTAACATTCTGCAGAGGAATATTGAATGGCAGACAAACACTTAAAGAAATGTTCAACCTCATTAGCCATCAGGGAAATGCAAATCAAAACGACCCTAAGATTTCACCTTACACCCATCAGAATGGCTAAGATAAAAAACTCAAGAGACAACACATGCTGGAGAGGATGTGGAGAAAGGGGAACCTTCCTCCACCAGTGGTGGGAATGTAAACTTGTACAACCACTGTGGAAAGCAATCTGGCGCTTTCTCAGACAACTAGGAATAGCGCTTCCTCAAGATCCAGCTACACCACTCCTTGGAATATATCCAAAAGATTCTCAAGTACACACTAAGGACATTTGCTCAATCATGTTTGCAGCAGCCTTATTTGTAATAGCCAGAAGTTGGAAACTGCCCAGATGCCCCTCAGTGGAAGAATGGATGCACAAATTGTGAGATGGGGTTTTCACTAGCCTAGAATTCACCAACTTGCCTGGGCAGTGAGCCCAAGGCATATGCCTGTCTCTGCCTCCCTGTACAGGATTACAGCATGTGCCCCGTGCATGGGCTGTTTTCCACAGGAGGTCAGGGGATGAAACGCAAGTCCTTGTGCTTATACGAACATTGCCAAATGTGGCATCTTCTCCCCTCCCCTCGCCCAATCTGGCTTTTGTTTGTTTTTCTAGACAGGGTTTCTCTGTGTAGCCTTGATTATTTTGGACTTGCTTTGTAGACCAGGCTGGTTTTGCACTAACAGAGATCCACCTGTCTCTCCCTTCCAAATGCTGGGATTACAGGCATGTGTCACTGTACCCAGCAAGCTGTCCTTTTTTGAGCTATAACTTTCATAATAAATTGTAAGTTAGTGTTTCCTTGAGTTTCATGAGCTGTGCTAACCCCTTCTGTAGGCTGATGGCGTATGGAAACCTCTGATTTATGGGCAACTGGTCAGAAGCACAGGTCACACCCTGAAACTTGTAACCAGCATCTGAAGTGGGAGGCAGTCTTAATCACACTGAGCCCTTTATCTGAATTTAACTAATTATAAGATACCCTACTGTAGTCTGGAGAATTGGTTGTGTGGGAAACCCCACGCATCACACCTCTGGTGTCGGAGGTCAGATAATGTACGGGCTCAGGCAAAACAAGGGCATTTCTCTTACAGAGCGTTTCCACTTTGGTGCCACCATGGACCACACTGCTTCACCCTTCACAGTTTCACACTGGTCGTCTGCTCTAGGGGCTTTTCTAAACCACAGCTCCTTGTGAGCAGTCAGTCTCTTTCATCTGGATTGCTGACACTGGGTTCATATTCTTCATCATTGGTCCAGGGTGACCATCTGTTGTCATGGTTGCTCTGCCAGGACCCCACACCCCATTAGAGGCAGGTGACAGTTTGGATCTCCAGTGCCCCACCTTCCCAGGCTCGTGTATTAGAGGTCTGGCCCTCAGAATGGCGCCCATGGATGCTGGTGCCACCTTTCACAGGCAGAGCCTAGTGGAAGGAAGTTAGATCACTAGGGTGTACCCTTGACGGACCACAGGCACCTCATCTCTTTCCTTGCTTCCAGGTCCCCATGAGGTAAACATCTTTGCTTCACTTGACCCCTTTCTTTGATGTTCTGTACCACCATAGGCATAAATAGTGAGGACAAACCATCTGGGCAGAAGTCTCTAAAACCGTGTATTCAAATAAATTGACTTGTCTGATTCTGTTTTGTTTTACTATGTAAGTTGGTGGGCCTCAAACTCACTTCAAACTCAAACTCAAACTCTTGACTCAGAATTTTGAGTGCCCAGCTTCTTCTGGGTAATTAATCACAGTACAGGAAAGCTAACACCAGGCTCATACCAACTCCCCTCCTTGCTGACTCTTTCCTGACTCACATTTGTCTAACGATCACCTTTATATCCTATTCTCAGAGGCAGTAAGAAGCTTTCTCCAATTTAAATTACCTTGTTCGAGACTTAGGTGGGAGTTCAGGCCTCCTCTATCACTTCCTTGGAAACACAATGCATTCGGGAAGACTGAAACAGGAGAGGGAGGGAGAGGGAAGAGGAGAAGCTATTAGAGATCTCCAGAAGAGACAAGGAGCAACATTTCAAAATTACACATTTAGGAATTTGTAGTTCTCTAATCATTTCAAGTTAAATGGGTCCCTCATGACAAAGTTCACCCATCATGCTCTGGGACAGGGAAGATTCCCACAAGGAAACCTTTATGCTTCTCATACAAAAAAGAGACACTCAAGGTCCAGAATAAAATAGTAGAAGGCACACAGTGAGCTGTGTTACTTTTTTAATGCTCAGATAGCAGGGAAGGTATATTTCCAAACAAGAAAAATAGAAGCAAAAGATGGCTTCTGGGTTGTCCCAGGGGTAAGAATAAATGAGGGAGGGGCTTTTCTGGGTGGAAAAGGATCTAGGAAGGTCTAGGATCTGGCACATACCTAAGGGAAGCCCCCTGCAGCTTTAAAGGTGGGTGAGATGGAGTTGAAGACTGGCTCACACATTGTTGATTTCTATGAGCAGGTGGTGCTAAAGTAAGATGGATCCTGCACCCCCAGCTGCGCTGTCACTCAAGGTGGGTGCTAGCCAACCTGATGGACTGTGACATATGTCAGTATAAGGGCTCGCGCTCAAGAGACACAACAGTGATACCATACTGGGACTCAGCACTTCTAATCCTATCCTTCTCTACATAGCCTGATGCTGGTGTGGCTCTCACTGCCTGGAGAGGCTAAGTGCCCAGCTGAGCAGACCTCTGGAGGTTGTACACTGTAGCCATTAAACATGCATTTTAGGATGATATATAGCACGTTAGTTTTGTTAACTCTTATATCACCAAATGCACTGAACACTATGTGCAAATGGTAAAACTTAATAAACAGTTGTTGGGAAAAAAAAACAGACTGTGATTTCAAAGGGTGATACTAAGCCCAATTACCATTATTAAAGCTTGTGGAAATGGGTTCCAAATGAGGGTAATTCTCCATGTTGACCTCACAGAACAATTCCTGCAGAACTGTCATGTTAAAATTCTTCTCCAGTTCTTCCAGGGCTTTGTAGATCACTTCGTGTAGAGGGACCAGGCTTCTACAAGAGTCTTGAAAATCCTTAAAAACAATGAGTGGAGAAAATGTAAGTACAGGCTTCCAAGTCCCAGAAGAACCCTAGAAATAATTATGGTTAGTATACCCCAACCCCCTCCAAACATATCTTCTAGTGGGAAGTTTTGTATTTCCATGACTGCTTCATGAAACAAGAAAATATTTTCTCTGTGAAAATAATCACTGGTGATGTCCAACTACCACTCTCATTTACATGACATTTAAGAGGGGCCACCTTTGAAGGGGAAACATGAGTTAGAGGTCAGCATGGGGCTGGTGAGATTGTTCATGGGGTATAGCCACTTGTTGTCCCTGCTCCTGAAAGTCTGAGTGCAATCCCTGGGATTCAGATGGTGGAAGCAGAGAACCAGCTAGCCACAGGTTGTCCTCCTACCTGCCCGTATGCACAGCAGCTGGCCCATACACAGATACCCACACACCACAAACACACACATGTAGTCATAAGTAAATAAATAATAAAGGTAATAATGTTTCTAAAGGTGTGGAGGGCTAGAGAGGTGGATGGCTCAGGGGTCGAGAGTGCTTGCTGCTCCGGCAGAGGACCCAAGTTTGGGTCCCAGCACCTTCACGCCAGCTCACAAACATCTGTACCTCCAGTTCCAAGTGATTCAGTGTTCTTTTCTGGCCTCCGTGGGCACCACACACACAAGTGGCATGCACACATAGATGCAGGCAAAATACTTGTACATGTGAAAAGAAAAAGAAATACATCCTTGAAAAAAAAAAACCAAAAACATGGCTAATGTGTAGTTAAAAGACAAGATACTTTAGAATGGGCTTGGCAGGTTGTCAGTGGTATTCTGTTAACTGGACCTCTTCCACAGGTCCTGGGTTCAGTCCCCAGCACCCACCTGGTGGCTCACAATCATTTGCTTGACTCCAATTCTGTGGAATCTCGGGGCCTCTCTCAACCTCCAACGGTGCCAGGAACACAGGCTGTGCACAGACATACATGCAGAGAAAACACTTGTGCACGGAAAACAATATAAATAATTTTAAAATGTGTCCTAATAAGACACTCTGTACATTTTAATATTCTCAAATCTAGGTTTTTAAAATAGGCATTTGTTAAAATAAGATGTGCTAACTGAAATTTCATGGAGTCAGTTTGATAAATACTTGAAGTTAATTACAATCACTTTTTTTTTTTTTTTTACTTTAGTTTAGTTTAAATTACATGAATCGAACAGTGTCAAGTGCAGAAGACGCTGCACATCTATGGAGAACCTCCATTCTGATCTAGCTTATCTTCAACAATACTCACTGAGCCCAGAAGGTGCACGGAACACCATTTCCGCAGATGGAAGCAGGACCATCTCCTGAAGCCTCTGCTTCACCTCTCCCTTAATACCTGGAGAGAACACTTCTAGAAATATCTGCCTAATGGGTGTCACTCACAGGAAACCGAGATTTCAAATCTGAGGCCATAATTCTGATTCATAATTGATTAACTTATTATCATAATTCATGTCTCTACAAAATGCTGTGAAAATCCAAGAGCTTTCTTTGTCAAAATGAAGTCTAGGGGCTGGAGAGACGCCTAAGTGGTTAAGAGAATGTATAGCTTTTGCAGAGGAACTAGGTGCCATTCCCAGAACCCACATCAGGCAGCTCACAACTTCAGTTCTAAGAAATCTAGGCCCTTTTCTGAATTCTCTGGGCACAAGCATCTATGTGAACACATACATACATACACACACACACACAGAAACACACATATACACATGCAAACACAGGAAAACATGAACATATGCATGCAAGTAAGAAATGAAATCTTTAAAAAAAAATTAAATCCAAACTGAAAAACCTGTCAGCCAACCAGTCTGAAGTTTGGTTCCACGATATCAAAGTGTAATTTAATTTGGAGTTTGTTTACCAGGTTATGCTGTAATAAACCTCACTTACATGATACATTTTGTCAGTGATGAGTTCGTGATCACGAAGGCCCTCAAGGAAAGGAAACGGCTTTTTTATTGCATATGAAATCACCAATTTCTGTTTTTTGAAGTACTGAAGTATAGCATTATTGGAAAACATCTCTGTGTTCTCATGATTTGTGGACATCCTGGAGGGGGAAAGACCATAGGAAAATTATCATTACAGCTATAGACGTTTGTGCAAACCATAAAGTTTTATATATGAAAGAAAGACTTTGAAGAACCAACATACATAAGACAGAGGGTCTTGAGTTTACCCTATAAATGAACTAGCTGGGCTGGATCCTCTGAGTTCAAGTGCGACCGACCCCGCTTCAGTACATAAGGAAGGACCCCAGCATCAGCCTATGGCTTCCCCACACACTTGTGCACACACGCACGTGTACACACACAAGCTCTCACACATGTGAATGTTTGTACATGCATGTACGCACACTGCATACCACACTGCACACAAAACAAAGCGGAGCAGAACGTTAATTACGATTCAAAAATTCTACTACGAGGTGTGCTTTTATAGGATTGGTAAGAAGGAATAGTCCCACTAACTTATTTGCAAATATTTCTGGTGGTTTTATTGATAGCCAAAAGATAGAGATAATCAAAATGCCCTTTAATTGGTGAGTAGAAAATAAAACTGAGATTTTACCTTACACCCATCAGAATGGTTAAGATGAAAAACTCAAGTGACAACACATGCTGGAGAGGATGTGCAGAAAGGGGAACCCTCCTACATTGATGGTGGGAATGTAATCTTGTACAACCACTTTGGAAATCAATCTGGCACTTTCTCAGACAATTAGGAATAGCACTTCCTCAAGATCCAGCTATACCACTCCTAGGCATATACCCAAAAGATGCTCAAGTACACAACAAGGACATTTGCTCAGCCATGTTTGTAGCAGCTCCATTCATAACAGCTAGAAGCTGGAAACAACCTAGATGTCCCTCAACAGAGGAATGGATATAGAAATTGTGGTACATTTACACAATGGAATACTACCCAGCAACTAAAAACAAGGAAATCACGAAATTTGCAGGCAAATGGTGGGAACTAGAAAAGATCATCCTGCACGAGCTAACCCAGAAGCAGAAAGACACACATAGTATATACCGACTTGGATATTAAACATATAATATAGAATAAACATACTAAAATCTGTACACATAAAGAAGTTAAACACGAAGGTAGACCTTGGGTAAGATGATCAATCCTCACTCAGAAGGACAAATGCAATAGACAGCAGATGCAGAAGAAGACAGGGAACAGGATAGGAGCCTACCACAGAGGGCCTCTGAAAGACTCTACTGATCAAAGTATTTAAGTGGATGCTGAGATTAATAGTCAAACTTTGGGCAGAGTGCAGGGAATCTTATGAAAGAAGGGGGAGTAAAAAGACCTGGAGGGGACAGGAGCTCCAAAAGAGACCAACACACACACACATATACATACACAAAACAAACAAACAAAACAGAGCCCTAGGGCCCTTGAAGAGAAAGATACACCAACCAAGGAAAATGAATGGAGAGGACTTAAACCCTGGTCAGATGTAGCCCATAAATTCAGTCTCCAAGTGGGGTTCCCTAGTTAGGGGAGCAGGGGCTTTCTCTGGCTTGAACTCAGTGGCAGGCTCTCTGTTCACCTCCCCCTGTGAGGTGCAGCCTTACCAAGCCACAGAGAAAGACATTGTGACCAGTCCTGATGACACATGATAGCCTAGGGTCAAACAAGAGGAGGAGGACTCCCCTCTACTAGTGGACTGGTGGAGGGGCATAGGGGGAGAAGAGGGAGGGAAGATGGGATAATTTTCTTGACTGATGATTGATGCGGGAGGGGCCAGCTCACTGTGGGCATTGCCACCCCTGGGGACATTGTTCTGGGGCACAGAATAAAGGAAACTAACCAAGTCAGTATGGCCATAGATTCTTCCTTAGAATACTGCCATAGAGTCTGCTTCAATTGCTGCCTCCAGGTTCTGCCTGAGCTCCTGCCCTGACTTCTTGCAGTGATGGACTGGGATGTGGAACTGTAAGCCAAATAAACTTTGTTTTTCACCAAGTTATATTTAGCCATGGTGTTTTATCCCTGCAACAGAAGCCCAAGAGACTGCAAGATTGGATGTTTCTACAGTCTGAATAGGAACAACAGGAGGTGACAGACAGCACTTAGGTTAAAAAGACATCTTATTGGTGTCAGGGTCTCTAGGACAGTTCCCAGCAGCTCAGTGGCAGGGAACACAGTAAGACAGCCATGCCCTGGGACAACCCAGGCCAGCACTGGAAAAACAAAGTGCATTGTCTTTCCCTCCAAACAAGCCATTGGGTAGCATATATGAGTCCACTGTCTCAGCAGTTCCTCTTTTGTTTGATTTTGGTACAAATACTTGCTTTTGACACAAAATACTTGTCGGTTAGCATAATGAAGCATATGGCCACTGTTCTTACAGCTTGTTGGTGACAGTGAACAAAGTAGTGACCTAAATCCATCAAAAGAAGAGTGGTTTAAAGCTCCTGGAAAGGACTGTCCAGATGGCTCAGCTGGTAAAGGAGACAGAATCCAAGTCTGATGACTTGAGTTGGATCCCAGAAACCACATGTGTAAATGCTGTTTTTATTTCCTCAGATGTAATGATGAGAGCCATCATCAAGCTTTATGAGTACAGGGCTTGAGCTGATCCAAGAGCATTTCTAACTGTCCCTAGGTATAGCCCTGGAAGCTTCTAGCCTTCCTCAAATCTAATCTTCTGCAAGCCCAGACCTTGAAGGATTCAGTATCTACCCTCTATCTGTTAACATGGGCCTAGAATATTTTCAGCCTCTGAGACTTACTGCTGAATAAACTCACTGTTTCTAGATCTTTCTGAATTCTAGATGGCTGGTTCAACTCAGCTGTCTGGCTCAAAACTCCTCTACAAGCTTACTAGTTCAAACTGGCCTCTCTCCACTTCTCACTGGGTTGCTGTGCTTGGAAATACTGCCTCTGCGCACCATAAACTGACTTATACAAACTAAACTATACTCAACTGTACTGAATCAAACTGTACTGTACTCTGAAACTATTGTACTGTTTCCATGAACAATCTTCCTTGCTCTCTCTTTCTCTGCAATCTCTTGAGCAGCTTCTCTTTCTTGTCTGTTTTCATGAGATTTGGGTGTATACTATCTCTGACTCATTCTGTCAAATCTTTCTCTGATTCATCACTTTGTCTGCCCCTCAGTTACACATCATCGTTTGGGATAAAGGTGTGCACTAAATTCCATCCAGAGGGATTAAGTATGTGTATTTTAGCCAGAGGGGTTAAAAGTGTGTACTAAGGACATATTAGTCTTCCAGTCAGATCACACAGACCTAGTTCTTTAGATATCATCCCTTGCCAGGATAGCCATGTTCCTGGATTAAAATTCATTTACATACAAACAAGAAGGAAAGAACTAACTTCTCTACTTTGTCCCCTGACTCCACTGCACATGCACAGATGCACACAGGTAAAAACATGAGTAAACATAACACAGAATTATAAATCTCTGGGTTCATACACCAGTGCTCTGAATGGCAGGGAACTGTCAGAAAGAATAAAGTAAATGTACATGTGTTATAGTGAGGACGTTGCCAACGTTTTCACTTTTTAAATAAGCTAAGGCTCAAAACACAGGACAATATAACAAAATGAAAATATGTATTACATATTTATGAAAACAAGTTATACACAGCAAGGCACAGAAAAAGAGAAGGGGCTGGAGAGAAAGATCAACAGTTAAGAGGAATGACTGCTCTTCCAAAGGCCCGGAGTTCAGTTCCCAGCACCCATGTCTGGCAGCTCATAACCATCTATAGCTGCTACTACAGGGGACATCCTCTTCTGTCCTCCAAAGCTACCTGCCCTAATCTGTCTCTTGTATACACACACACACATCAATAAGTTATTTTTTAGAGGGTAAGGAATATCTAAGCATGGTCATACACATCTTTAATCCCAGTTCTTTTGAGACAGAGGCAGGTGGATCTCTGTTGTGAGTCTGAGGCTAGCCTTGTCTACATCATTTCAGGTCAGCCCAGATTACATAATAAAAAGATCAAGAAATCTTGAGGTGAGATTTAAAAAAAATACGGAAGCTGGCACCCAAGGAGTGGGTGAGCTACGGGGATTTAAATTTTTTTTAATATTTCCACAGGACTTGAAAGTTTATAAACCACATTTTATTGTGAAACAGTCCTGGTGGTACAGGCGTGTAACCCCAACCTATATAAGACTAACAACACGGACGAACCCATAAAATAACAGGACCACAAGTTCAAGGCCAGCCTGGGCTGTAGAAGGAGTTCAAGACCATCACGAGTAACTTAGCAAAACCTTGAGTCAAAAATTTTAAAAATAAATCGAGAGATACATAGTCAAGCATATTCAAGCACTTAGGTTCAACTGTGATACTGAAAAAAAAATTACTTCCTTTGCACTAATAAAAACACAGACTACTATTACTTATAAGTAGCATATTTGAATCACTACTGCTAGAGTAAACAATTCTACCATTTCTTGTCAGAAGTACCATCCACCTGGAATAGAAAACTCAAGTGAAAATAGAAACATGCAGCTTGCCCTGGCCTTTGCTTTCAGAGGTCTTTTCTTTTCCTTTGTCTTCCTTGAATGGGATTTGACAGTGAGAGCTCAGACTAGGAGTGAGCCTGGGGGCAGCTTTCTAGGTGATAATTTCAGGTTCAAGTTCAAGGTAGGAGATCAAAATGCGGAGAGGGAGGAACAGCTATTTACAATGAAGCCTCTGCTATTTGGCCTTCTTCCCGTGAGGTAACCTAGTGAAAGCAGGGACAGGCAGAGAGACTGAGAGCGCCCAGAAGTTGTAAGATAATCACAGCCATGCCACAGAGGACAGCAGCAGGAGTCCCTGTCAGCTGTGGCCAGTGTCTCCTCTGACAGCTGAGCAGTGGTTGCAAACAAGAGAGTTAGGACTTGTGTACAATAGGGCAAGCTGGGTTTGCCAGAAGTTATCTTACAGTTAAAAACTCCAGATGTTCTCTCTCTCTTTCTCTCTCTCCCCATTCTTCCTTCTCTCCCCCCTCTCTCTTCATTTTGTCTCAATCTGCCCCACAATCTCTCCTCTCATACTATAGTGCAAAGCTTCTTCAGGTCAGGTGGTTTGGACTGACTGAAGCTGCAGCCAGTAACTCAAGACATAAACTCACCCATGCTGTCAGAGGGAAAAGTCACAGAGCAGAAAGAAGACCCACCTGGTGCTCATGCTGCTCCCTTCCATCTACCAGCACCTGCCTGGAGCCTGGAACAGTGAGCTGTGCTCCCTTGGTCTCTGCACAGGCTTCCTGGCTGCTGTGGCCCACAGCTGAGAGCAGGAAGTCAGCCTGAGTAGAAACTCAGCAGGAAGGGCTCCGCCCTAACTGGGAAAAGAAAAATGAAAGTATTTCTCTAACCTCAAATGTGCTGTTGTGAGAGATTGCCCCTCCTTATTTGGAATGTGGTGTCAGGGAGGAGGAGAAAGGGGAACCTAGAGGATTGCAAAGGGGTACACCAGGGAAAAGCAGAGCCAGGTCCTGGGAGAGTTTTATTTATGAAAGACAATAACAGAATATCTCCACTCAAAGCAAACTGTTCTCAGTTACTCCTGTGTCTGGGAGGGTAGCAGAGTTTCCTTGGGGTTAGTTGTAATTCCATTTTCTGTCATGTCCCTGGTTGAAGGGACTTGGGTAGCAAGAGAGATGGAGAAAGAGTGCCAAACACTTTCAAGTTAGCTCTCAGGCTAGCAGGAGAACCAGGAGCCGGATCCTGACTGAGAGAAGATGTCACATAGATCTAGTGGGTGAAAGGTGACCCACCAAACTGACAGACACTTTGGGTCAGAGCCCTCTGTCTGCAGAGTCGTCACCCCAGCCTAAAACTCAAGGGTGGGAGGAAGCTGCAACCGTGGCCACCAGGGCAAGAGGATGAAGAACTGGTCACCCTTCTGGTGCAGATGTGATAATTCCTGATGGGCAGTCACCTCCAGTGAGCTCCTCTTGGAGGTCCCTGACGGGTCCTCAGCATCTACCAGGTCTCTGCTCCTCCTTCTGGGAAGACTTTCTCTGAGGGACTTGGCAGACTGAGGTGAGCCTGCCCCTTGTCAGGTCTCCCAGGAGTCTTTTCTCCTGCACGGACACTGGCTGTGTTCTCCATTCTCTCAAGTGCACAGGGATAGGCTGGTATGGGGCAGGAGTGGGTATGACTCACAGGAACAGCCTGAGGTCATGCTTGGGGTTAGACTTCAGGGGACTTTTTGTTGCCCCACAGTGTAGCCAGCTCTCCAATTCTACTCTGTCAGGAACAAAACTTTTCTATGATCTTATCTTACTATAAATCTTGTGTCTGTATGAGCGTATGTGCACATGAGTGGTGGACTAGGCCAGAAGACACTGTGGGATCCCCTAGAGCTGGAGTTATAGGCAGTTGTGAGTTACCTGGTGTGGGTGCTGGGAACCATATCCAGGTCCTCTGGAAGAGCAGAAGGCCCTCTTAATCGTTGAGCCATCTGTAGCCCCAAACAGTATTTTCACCCTCATTCTGTCTGTCACGTGCTCTGGAGACAAGGTTAGGAAATGTGATAAACTTGGGGCTCTGAGCCCCTAAACTTGTTTAAGCCTAAGCCTGTCTTTTCATCAAGTTCCCCTCTACTTGTGTACCCGGTGAGCAAAGATGCCAGAAGGCCAGGCAATTCTACTATCATCATCCAGGCCCAGTGGGCACTGGGTGGCAACATTTCAGCTCTTACACACTGAGTTGAGACTGAGTCAAGCCGCTAACAGCCAGATCTCTGCTTAGAACCCCAGGGAGTAGGCTAAGGCTGAGAAGCTTTGGATATTATGGGCTTTGTGAGATGTCGAGGGGATAGAGCAGGAAACATGGCTAATCTTCTTGGGAGAGACTGGAAGAGATCCCAAGCAGAAAAGGAAAAGTTACTGGACAGAGGAACACAAGAGGTCCACTTGTTCATCTTCTAAAGTTCTGAGAAACTCTCCATGAGACCAGGGTCCTGATAAGGTAGCAGGAGGAGGTGGGATGGTGGGCCAAGAGCCTCATGTCAGGGAAGTCCCTACCTCTCATCTCTGTCATTACCCAGAGCCTTTCAGTTTAGCTTCTGTATCATCAAGTGGTCAGGCCCAGAGATTCCCTGTGTTCTGGGTATACAGATGGGAGGCCCAGACACTCCTCAGACCATTGATGTCACACATGCTGTCCTTCCACAGATGCCCTGCCACTGAGACTGGCCGTGCCCACACCATTCAGCAAGGAAAGAGCTAGCGACTTTCCTCTCTTGTTTTCTTTTCTGTAGTTTTTTTTTTTTTCATCCTCCTCCTTCTCTTCAAATTCTTTTTTTCTTTTCTATGCGTTGATGTTTTGCCAGTATTTATATATGTATGAGTCCTCAGACCCCTGGGACTGGAGTGACAGACAGTTGTGAGCTGCCAGTGGTGCTGGGATTCGAACCTCCTCTGGAAGAGCAGGCAGTGTTCTCACTACTGAGCTATCAACATTATCAGAGGACTGTATCCACTCTCTGTCCAGAGTAGGCTCCAGAATACTCCGCCTAGTGGTTGTTATAGGTAGTAGTCTCCTTAGATGTGTATTCTACCACCATTGATGGGACCCAAAAGTCCTTTTCAAGAGCTATGGAAACATCTTGGGAATGGTGGTAGAAGTTCTAAGTTATGACACGATCTTAATATTTGATAGTCTATGAGCATATGTGAGCTTTTGGCCTATACAGAGACTTTTGGTGCAAACTGTCAGGGAGGCACTGTGAATCTGGCTAAACCAAACTTGCTGGAAAAGTCCATTCATCCTTCTTTCCAGACAGCTACATTCTGCTTGTGTGTACCAGGGAGGGGCCTACTCACTGGAAGCCAAGGCACTCAAATTTGCCTGTGCCCCTCACCTCAATGTCTCATGGGGTGACCAAAAATCTCTTCCAAGTGCATAGCACTTGATGGTGCTTTAAAACATTCCAAAGCATGAAGCAGTTTCCAAAAAAACAAAACAAAACAAAACAAACAAACAAACAACAACAACAACAAAAAAAACGGAGAGATATCTTAAGAGAAAGAACAGGGCTTGAATGTGAAAACATCAAAAGATACCCTGCTTCCCATGTCCTACACTCTAGCGTCCCTTTACCATGTTCTAACTTCAGGGCCCTCGTGAGTGCAACCAGCACTCTCCCCTTAGACTCAACAGAGACCTCTCTGGATTCCCTAGACATTTATCCTGTTGCCTGTGGCTCCCTCATCCAGCAACCCTCCCACGATGGTCACTGCATTAATTGCGGAGCCATGCTGAATGAAGGGCTGCGCGTACCCGTGGTATCTTTTAACCTTGCCTGCAAGAACCAAGTATTGGAAGTTTGGTCTTTTTCAGTTGAGGTGATTGGTTGAGTTTAGCCTGAATTTAGCATGTGTCACTGAGATAATGGTGTAGGGTAAGAACCCTGCACCATTTTTATATTTCCACAGTAAACTCAGCAAAATCAACCAGCCAGCCTCTGTATAGGAGTCTCAGTAACAAGACTTTGCAAAAGTTAATGTGTCTATGGGGATTCAATGTATACATGTTGCTGGTTTAGTCCTATTCTTGGAGACCTATAGGAGTGGCTCCAGGGAGAGCCAGAAGTATCATTGTACAATCTGGTCACTGATGGTTACTCCTTGACCTCAGGGTCAAGCCTCAGAATGCCTAGTCTCAGTCGGGTGTCAGTTGTGGGAGATGAGGAGCACAGGGAACAGAATGTGACACAAACTACTTGCCCCAAGGCAGCTCTGGAAGGATCTTCACCCCTTCCCTGAAGATCCTATACCCTAGTTTCTGTCTAAAATCTTGGCAGAAATGTTGATAAAAGAACCTACAACATTTTGGCCTTGTGTTAATCCACCCCAGTGAGAATAAGAGCAGTGCCACAATTTTGAACCAAATTTGAAGCAAGCTTTAACTTAATACTGGCAAAGGGGAAGGACTCTGGCCAGGTCCACTTCTCAGTTCACAGAAAAATGGCAACAAGTCACATTTTGCAGAGGCTTAAAAAGTCTGTGCCTATCATAAGGCCACCATCAAGTCCGATTGGGGCAAGTATATATTCTGACGTACTTCCTGCCTGAAGCCAGGTAGAGGCAAGCATACATCCTGACCTATGTCCCGCCTACCTACCTCCTTCCTACAAGAGATCAAGCACAACCTGTGCAGTTCAGTCAAGCGAACCCGTTTAGGGAAGTGAAAACATGTGCCTTGTTATCTCCGGTAAACAGTAGCTTCTAGCAAGGGTTAGAGGCTTTCTTGTTTCACAGATCTCTGTGGCATGGTAACTAAACCTGAAAGCATACCTTTGACTCTCACACACTTGCCTAAACCAGCAAATGCTTCTTCAGTCAAACACACAACGGGGCTTAGAAAGAGGGTGGGATGAAGGTTTCAGGAGAGGAAACTCCAGTTTCCAGACAATCCTGATAGAGGTTTCACGTCAGATGGAAGACTGCAGATATGAACAGAAGCACCATGGGGAGATCTGGCAGGTACTGGATGGGTAAAAGTGTTGTTGGGTCTGAGGGCCTATTCTGAGTCAAAACTGACTGGATTATCAGCTATTTACCACCTCCTGCTTGAGGCAGAACTGGAAACCTTTGATGCAGCAGATGGTCATTTCATTCTAATGGATCAGATTTTGAGCAGTCTGTGTAGGAAGGACAAGGCCCAGCTCTCAGCTCAGACAGAGCTCTGTTTTCATGGACACAACAAAGGAATCTCTTTTCTGAGATTTCCTCTTCACTCTTTAAAAACCTTGGCCTGTTTTCGAGTTTGTTGTTTGTTTGTTTGATTGATTTTCCATGATGCTATCCACCAGAAAGCCTCCTACCAAAGTTTTCTCTTCCCTGAACAAGACTGTGGCTGCCTCTCAAGGTCAGGCAAAGGGAAGCAGGAAGTTCATTCTAAGCTACCTGCCTTCCAAATTTTAGCTTCTCTCCCAAGCCCTGTCTGAGTCTTTTTATTTGCAGAACAGGCTATTCGGGTTTTTGCACAGCTTCCAAAGTCACCACCTGAGTTACAGCCTAGTCGGCAGGTGCTTCTACATGGACACTCAATCCAAGTTTTGTCCCTACTCAGTCACTGATAGGCTTTTATCTGTCCATGAAATGAACTAATCCAAGTGAGATTAAAAATATGAAAACAGCAGGTTTATTTGGGAAGAGGGGCTCCTGGGTGAGTTCACTAGTGTCGGGGGACAAAACCAGAAGAAGTTGCCCCCAGATTATAGTGGGCAGGGCTTTAAGGATTGTGGATGAAGGAAAGTGATATGTCTGCCACAGGCTGACCCG